AACCCTCGAATTTGCGTTTCCCACCGCCTACCTTCACCGCCGATTGAGAATCTGGAACGACGCGAGGGAAGGGGAGGTCCTCCGGCGATCTGCGCGCGGCTGCGGTTTGAGGACGGAAGGTAAGCAGTTCCAACTCTTCAAAACGACCACGTCTTTGTTTTTTTTTTTTTTTATTAACCTGCTTAATTAATTTTTTCCAGCTTAACTTTATTATTTTTTGCTGTCTAGAAGTTTTACGCAGAACTTTACTTTTGTTTTTCCCAAACGGTAATATCTTTATTAATTTATTATTTTATTGGGTAAAGGAAGACAATTAATTTAGTATTTGTTTTAATGTGATTACATGGAATAAAGTGGAAGTAGTTAAGTTTCCTAGCTAGTAGCTAGTTGTATATACATCAATTAAAATTATATTGAATGTAATTAAAAATTTGTTTCTTTGTTTTATATATGAAAGCTTAGTTAAGTAATTATATTGGATTATTTTTATTTCTACATCGAGAATTTAATTTTCCTGAATAATTAAGTTAGTTTTACTTTTTTGTAATATTGTCTAATAACGTAACATAAATTGTTTACCAAGTCTAATAACATAAATTTCCTACATATATCTATAGGCATGGAACCTATCGACAAAGCTTGGATACAATTGAAGAATCGGGCATGCACACAGTACATTGCGGGAGTGGAGAAATTCGCGAAGTATGCAACAGACCATGTTAAAGACGATGATGGTCTAATAAGGTGTCCTTGCGTGGAATGTGGTAATGTGCGTAGAATGACAGTGAACCAAGTAGAAGGACATCTTCTTTATAAAGGAATGAGAACCGACTACACCAAATGGATTTACCATGGCGAGGTCGACGAAGATGAAGAAGATGACGATGAAGATCCAGAATTGGGTGATGATAACATTGAAATAGACAATGGAGATGATGGCGATATGGGTGAAGATAACGATATGGGCGAAGATGATATGCTTGGTGTTCTGAACGACCTCATGGCTCCATTAGCGAATCCGGAAGAACCTAATGCCCAAGCTCAAAATTTGTACAAACTTTTCGGAGAGGCTCAATCACCGTTGTACGAGGGATGTGCTTCGAATGTGTCAAGATTGTCATTCGTCACAAAGCTTATGAAAATCAAGTGGGAGAATAACTGGAGTAACAATTCATTTACCCAGTTGGTCAAGTATATCCGGGCTGTATTTCCTATGGCGCAATCACTTCCGAAGAATTACTATGAAGCAAAGCAGCTTATGAAAGCTCTTGGGCTACACTACGAAGAAATAGATGCATGTGAGGACGATTGCGTCCTATACTACGCCGAGCTGGCAGATGCGACATCTTGCCCCACGTGCAAAAAATCAAGGTGGAAGAAAGTTTATAAGGATAAGAAGGGCAGAGATAAGAAAATTCCGTGCAAAATTATACGGTATTTTCCCATCAAACCACGGCTACAAAGATTATTCATGTCGTCAAAAAATGCTGAAGATATGGTATGGCATGCTCTAAATCGCTCGAAAGATGGGATCATGAGGCACCCATGTGACGGAGAGGGTTGGACTGCTTTGGACGAGTTTGACCCATCTTTTGGTTGTGAACCCCGCAACGTTCGTTTGGGACTAGCGACTGATGGTTTCAACCCATTCGGCAATATGAACAACAAGCACAGCACGTGGCCGGTCCTTCTATTCCCGTATAATCTTCCTCCTTGGAAGTGCATGAAGAATCCTTTCACCTTCCTGACATTGCTCATTCCTGGCCCAAAAGCTCCGGGTAATAGTATTGATGTTTTTTTGAGACCTGTTATTGATGATTTGAAGGCTTTGTGGAATGAAGGCTTGTTAACTTATGATGCATTCAAGAAGGAGAACTTCATCATGAGAGCTGCATTGTTGTGGACCATCAACGATTTTCCGGCTTACGCTAATCTTTCTGGATGGAGTACGAAAGGTAAATTAGCTTGTCCATCGTGTGCAGGGGAAACAACGCATTTGAGGTTGACGAATGGGCATAAGGAGTGCTATATGGATCATCGTCGGTTTTTGCCTTTGGATCATAAGTGGCGCAACCAAAGGAAGCAATTTAACGGTAGAGTAGAGAAGAGGCCCAGACCAAGGCAATTGTCATCACTCGAGGTATCAAATCAGATCCACTCATTCGATCAAATTGTGTTTGGGATCAAAGGAAAGGGTAAAAAGATCGATGGATTTGGTAAAGAACATAATTGGAAAAAAATTTCCATTTTCTTTGAATTGCCATATTGGAGTTCACTTAAGTTACGCCACAATTTAGATGTCATGCATATTGAGAAGAACGTGTGTGACAGTGTTTTGGGTACAATGATGAGTATTGAAGGCAAAACCAAGGATAGTCTAAATGCCCGCAAAGATTTGCAGGAGATGGGATTGAGAAAGGAATTACATCCTATAGAGAGGAACGGGAGAATAGTGTTACCTCGAGCTTTATATAGCTTGCTGCCAGCGCAGAGAAGGGAATTCTGCGAGTGGATATCAAAGTTAAAGGTTCCAGATGGTTATTCTGCCTATTTGAGAAATTGTGTGAATGTTCAGGAAGGGAAGATTTCAGGAATGAAAACTCATGATTGTCATATCTTGTTGGAAAGATTAATACCTCTTGTAGCTAGGGACTTCTTTCCGAAGGCTATAGCGGACCCCTTAATTGAGTTTGGCAATTTCTTCAAGAATATATGTTCGAAGGAGCTAATTTTGAAAGAGTTATCAGCCATGGATTCTGAAATCGCCATAACCCTCTGTAAGTTGGAACGTGTATTTCCCCCGGCATTCTTCGATATCATGATTCATTTGGCCATCCATCTACCTTTGGAAGCAAAAATTGCTGGACCCGTCCAATATCGTTGGATGTATCCAGTGGAAAGGTATGAATTTCATTAAATTTAATAATTTATTGTTTTCCGTTTTTACTAATTCTTGAAACATGTTCAATTTTTTGTTTCTTTTTTACTAATTCTTGAAACATGTCTAAAAATTTATTGTTTTTGAAATGTTACGTTGTCCGATGAAGAGGATTAATTATTAATATTTCCTACTTTTTTAACTAGGTATTTGAAGAAATTGAAAGGTTGGGTTCGAAACAAGGCAAGACCAGAAGGATCTATTGCTGAAGCATATGTGATTGATGAGTGCGTTACATTTTGCTCGCAATACATGACGGATGTGGAAACTCGATTTAATCGTCCTGAAAGAAATGATGATAGTATTCCAGAGGGAACCGTTCACCCACATAATTTGTCCATTTTGCAACGTGTAGGTCGTTTTATTGGTACATTCGTCATGAAGGACTTTAATGATAATTTGTTCAAGGCTGCAACATTTTATGTCTTGCAAAACTGTGACGAAGTCGAGGATTTTAGGAGGTACGTACAATTTATAGTTCTTCAATAATGTGTGTATTGCTACAATTAATAATCATTATTTTAAGAATTTGCATATGTATGTATACTAAATGTAGACAACATAAGGAATTGTTGGCTGGACGCGGTGTGCGAATGGTTGAGAGAGTGCACAGGGAAGAATTCCAAAAGTGGTTCGCTATTAAGGTAATTAACTATTTTGACACGTAAATTTTGAAGTGTTGTCGTATTATGATATTCGTGTACAAGCCAACAAAAAAAAATTGCTTCATGATGCAGGTGGCCAAAATGATTGATGACAATGTTGCAACTTTGCATCCCTCTATGTTGACTTTGTCTCGAGAGCCGGACAAACGAGTGTTGCACTACTCAGGCTATTGCATCAATGGATTTCGATTCCACACGCGAGATCACGAGATTAGAAAAACAAGTCAAAATAGTGGAGTCATGGTGCGAAGTGAGGAAGGTGTGGGGATTCCTTACTATGGCGTAATTGAAGATATCATAGAGTTGCGATATACCGAAGGTCTTCGTGTAGTGTTATTCCAATGTGATTGGTATGAAACCACGCGAGAAGGCGTAGGCTATAGGAGGGATGGCCATGGTGTTATTAGCCTCCATCGAAGACGAAGGCGACCAACGGACGAACCTTTCGTTTTGGCAACTCAGGTAACCCAAGTGTATTATGTGCAGTGTGTCAGAGATCCGGAATGGGACATGGTGGTTGAGACAAGGCCGAGGAATTTTTATAATGTGGCGGATGTCGAGGAAATTTTAGAAGAACAAGCATACCAAGAAGACGAAATGACTAATGGGGGTCGAGTTATCGAGGAGGAGGACGACGATGTTAACTTAAACTTGCGTGGCATGGGTTATGAAGAATTTCTTTAATCAAGTAATATGACTTCTAAATTTTGTTTTCCTACATTACGAACTTGTTATTTTAAATACATTATCAATTTTCATTTTGTTAAACATATACATTATGATTATGGTATTGTTATTTTCTCTTGAATATAGTCTTGAAAGCTAAAATATCTATATTCATAAAAAAAAATATCATGTATGTATAAAAAATATCTATAGTCGTGAAAGCTAAAATATATTATGTAGATTAGAGATAAAAATATTATGTATACAAAAAATATCTATAGTCGTGAAAGCTAAAATATATTATGTAGATTAGAGATAAAAATATTATGTATAAAAAAAATATCTATAGTTTTGAAAGCTAAAATTTTTTATGTATATTAGAGATAAAAAATATTATGTATTAAAAAAAATATATATAGTCTTGAAAGCTAAAATAGTTTATGTATATTAGAGATAAAATTTATATTAAGTTACATTGGGTTAAATCGCAAAAAAAAAAGGGGTTACATTGGGTTCCTAGATCGCAAAAAAGGGGTTAAATCGCAAAAAAAAGGGGTTACACAGCAGCATTTAAAAAAAAAAAATTCAATACACACTCCAACACCAAAAACGGCGACGCATGATGATAGGCAGCGTGAGAAGTGTGTCAAAGAGGGGAAATCCCCTTAGATCGATTCAGTTCCTATTTCCCCTCTTTCCATTCTCATTTCAGACGAAGAACCCTAATTATATTCCACCCTTCGATCGATTGCCTTCCCCAGACTTCCCTCTAATGAAATCGCTATGGAAACTCTCGCCGCTTAATGGAAATCGCTATGGAAACTCTCGCCGCTTTAAGACTGAGTGAAGGAGACAGCGGAGATCCATCATCAGATGGAGAGGCGCACGACGCGAGAAGGCTATCGGGATTGGCCACTGCGTTTCTGGGAGGTACGAAGCGTCTGGACTTGTTTTGATTCATTGAATTAATTACAACATGCATTTACTTTCGATCATAATTGTGAGTTGCCCTTTACTTGATTCATCAGAGTTTTTGGCCTTCAATTCATTACCCTATTCCTAGAATCAACTCAGCGAACTAGTTTACATTTATTAGGAGTCTTCGATTGATTAGGAGTCTTCTATTTATAACGAATGTCCTCACCAATTACTTTTACATACACAGAACCCCTCCCCTCAGAACGAAAAGCTTTATTGATCTGCTCTTGATAGCTAGATGGGAAGGGCAAAAAAGGCTGGGAAGCCAAAGGCATCCAAAAGGGCAGTGGAGGAACCAGGAAGGTCAGCCACTCTAGAGACTGTGGAAGTGGTTCCTCAGGAAAATGAAACCGTGCCAGAAACTCAGCAGGGAACAAGGGAGGGTGAAGATTTGAATGAGTTGGAGAATGAAGAGGTTCAGACCCCGAATGACGACATAGCTTTTGAAGAGGACGTGAACCTCAACCAGGGGGCTCACTCTACTGGGGGAGGTTCTTCAGTTCAGAAGAAGAATGGCAGAGGTCATGGAATAGGGGTGAAGCCTGGACATGGCCTTCACCTTGAGATACATGACAACAGGTAATAAATCCTGATACTGCCCTTCTACGTGACAAGCTGTAATTTCAATTGAGAATGAGGCCTTATGAACGTTATTTTGTATTTTCAGGATCGTCACACCACAGGCTGCCCATGAACTCACTGCTATCTTCAAAAGGGGCATCACTGGTCCATGGATTAAGTTCTCGGAGTACCCTGCTTCTGCTTTGCAGACCGTGATTGCTCGTTTCAAGGAATCTGGGTTCACATGCTCTCTTCCAGAAGAAGAACTCAATGTTCATCTCAAGGAACACATCAAGAGGAACTTCTCCCAGTGGATGTATGGGTTCCGCAACCGAGTCTTCAATCAATATCCTACCCTTGCTGAAAGGATTAACAATCCACCTACTGAAATCCCTGCTCATATTTGGAGGGAAATGGTTAACAAGTGGAGTGATCCAAACTGGAAGGTAATTTACTGCTGTCTAAAATTGCTTATTATGATTAATTGTTGGATGTATCTAATTTGCATATGTATGTTTACACGGCAGAGCACCAGTGATAAGAACAAAGCCAATCGTGAGAAGTCTGAGCTCACTGCTACTGGCGGATCTGTTCCCATGGCGAAGTTTAGGCTTGATCAGGTACCCCAATGTGTTCTCTTGTATTTAATAAGAACGAAGCAAAGGTCCAGAAGTGTGAGCTCGTTGCTGTTGCGTTATTTTTGTGTTTGCAGATCAAGAAGACGGGAAAAGAACCAGATCCTATAGAGACATTCAAGAAGTTCCACGTGAAGAAGGGCAATGGTGAATTCACCACCCCAAAAGCTCAGACCATACATGTAAGTGCATTGCATGTTAAATAATTTTAGCTTTCTTCTTCTTTTTTTAAATCATTTAAACTCAGCGTATTAGTTATTAATTACTATATGTGTAGGCTGAATTGAAGAATAAGGAAGCTGAGAAGTTGAGTCAAGGGGAAGAGGTGAACCAGTTTGCGATTTATGGTGAGGTTGTAGGAAAACAGCCTAGGAAACGTGTGTTGGGAATGGGTTATGGGGTAACCGGTGTGGATGTTTTTGGCCCTAGCTCCGGTCAGGGCTGCAGCAAAAGGTGTGAAGAAGACCGAAGGCAAGAGAAGGTGAAGAATGATGAGATGATCAGAATGCTGAAAGAAGAACTAGTGCAGGTGAAGAATGGAATTCCTCAGATTGTCGAGGATACATTGAAGAGGCTAGGAGTTAATTTGGCAGAGTCCTCAATGGTAAGTAGTTGCTGTTTTTTTAGTTGGTTGAGCATGATTAATCGTATGAACCTTATCATAATCTATTTAACTTTGTAAATTAGGCTGGAGACAAGGAGGTGAATGATGAAGATGAAGATGAAGATGGAGACGAGGAAGTGAATGATGAAGATGCGGATGGTTTTGACCATGAGAACAGCTCCCCCTGATGATGATGACTACTAAGTTTGCAGCGCTTGGAAGAAAGCAGCAGTAGGAACTTTGAAAGTTCCAATTTTCAATCGGAAGTTTGCAGCTAGCAGCTAGGAAGAAGGCAGTCTTAGGAACTTTGCAAGTTCCATTTTTCAATCGGATTATGTTTATGTTTATGTTTTGTTTTGTTAAGTGGTTGGTTGTTTTTGTTTTATGTTTGAACAAGTGTTTGGTTGTTTTGTTTTATGTTTGAACAAGTGTTGAATGTGGTCTCCTTTTAAGACACTTTTGGTGGTTAGGCCACCTAATTTTATGGAGAATTTTCAATTTTTGCTAATATATTGAAGTGGTTAATGTCTTTTATGCTTTTAATAAATTACCTGCAAAATAAAATTTATTATTATTATTTCTCAGTTATCATCACTAATAATATATAGTAAATATATTTACAAAATCAGGAAAAAATATGTAGTTCTAACGATGTAATTTGGTTACAGTAACACTAAATTTGGTTACAATTGGCGAGTTGCTTCCCACAAATATTTCGTGTTGCAAGTATTCTATTTGTAATGTAACAAAATGGTTAGCTTTAGTAAGTCATTTCTGATGAATAATTTGGGTTACATATATTTTTTTTAACACAACAATTTGGTTAGCTTTAATTGTTTCTTTCGACGAATATTTAATGTTAAAAATATTCTTTTTTAACACAACAATTTGGTTAGATTTAATAAGTTTATGCCGACGTATATTTTGTGTGACAAATATCTTATTTTTAACGCAATAATCTTGTTACATAAACACAAAAGTTGGTCTTAATTAATTAGTTTCTTCCTACGAAACTTTTGCATCACAAATATTAGTTATTTTCTTCTGACCTTATTTTCTCGTTGGAAATTAAATTTACGATTATTATGAATAGTTTTTAGTGACGCAAGATATTCATTATAAACACCACAGGGGTAATTTAGGAACATAATTAACCCTCACAAAAAATGTTCTTCTAGTGACCTTATTATCTCGTTGGAAACTAAATTTACGATTATTATGAATAGTTTTTAGTGACGCAAGATATTCATTATAACATCACAGGGGTAATTTAGGAACATAATTAACCCTCGCAAAAAATGTTCTTTTACGACAAACAACTGTGGTCAAAACAATCAAAGGGCATTTTCGGAAAAAATGCCAATTTTTTTAGTAACGAATTTTTTATTTACTAACAAACATAGTTTCCTCAATTATAGTTTATCTAACAAAATGTACTCCTCACAAAAATTATTTTATCCATTAAAAATATATTTGGTCAAGCAATTTCGTTAAGTACATTTCTTTACTGATCACGATATTTTGCATAATGATAAAAAATAATTGTCACAAATATATGATTTTCTGACGCAAATACATTTAAACTATTAGCGAGGGACCTTTACCCCACGACCCACCAACGACGGTATTTTGTCAAAATAACCCTATTGTGACGAGAAAAGGCCTTTTGTGACGCCAATTGTCTGGTAACATCTGCTAGTCTTTTTTGTAGTGATAGCCAAACAATCTAGTTAGTAGTAGTGCCTCCTGTTGATTCATACCACCTTTGGTCACATTCCAATTTATGGAATTGTTGACTATTTTGTGCATGACTCGGTCCCATGAGCAACTGATATCTCTAAAAGTTCTTGAATTTCGCTCTATTGTTATTCAAACGGTTAATGACCATGTTACATAATTTTAATGATTCATTCATAGGCGTTGATGACGAAACCATAAAATGATAACAATTGATTCAAAATTGTTGATAATGTAATTGTAAAGAATTGATAAGTATATTGAAATCGTTAATAGTGATGAGGTATAATAATAACGATTCATTTCATAAATGCTGATAATGTCATTGCAAAATGTTAATAATGCATTGCAAGTTGCCACGAAGAGAGAGAGCATATATTTTTAATTTTTAATTTTAATTTTAAAAAGTAAAAAAGTATGAAGTTTGAATTTATTAAATATTAAATAATAATATTTAATTAAACTAATTTCGAATTTCCTTTTCATTGTAGTGGAGAGAGAGGGTTATGGAGAAGATCAAGGGAGAGAGAGAAGAGAATCATTAATGAGTAATATTAATTATATTTTTATAATATCTTATTTATTCTAACTAAACATTAACTACTAACCATCATTAACTACCTAATCTAGTATCAGCCAATAAAAATAGTTTAAGAACCTCCTTAAGCAATAAGGTTTAAGGACTGGATCCAACCCGATCTCATAGGGAAGAATAAGGCTGCAAATGATTCGAGTCGAGTTCGAGCTAGCTTGCTTAATAAAACTTGACTCGTATTTGATAAATATCTATTTATACTTAATATTATTGCTATTCAAAAGTAACTTCTTGCCACATAAGCACTTGGTGAATTTACAAGATGCCAAGGTAGACAATTTTTTTACAAACAAAAATTTATTTATTGATCTATTTATGGATCTATCTCTCTTCTTTTAATACTTCTACTCATTTTCACTTAAACTTAAAATAAGTTACATTTTTTGTGAAACATTTAAACAAACACACATAAGTAATAATCTTTTCTTCAATTAACAAACTATAAAGATAAAAATAGAGAGTGACATATATCGTGTTTGTTTAACCCAAAAATATCTTATTAAATTTCATTAAGTAAATTTTCTATTAATTTTTACTAAAACTTTATAATAAGTTATATTTTGATGGGGAAAAAAACAATCACGCATCTGAATAATGATAATTTTTCAATTAAACAAAATTTAAACGATGACAGAAGAGAAAATAAGCGTTTGACAATCAATCGATTTTGAAAAATGAACTGCATGACTATATTTTTTTTGCTATCAAACACTAACTTCTTCCTAATGCATATACTTATAAAATAAAACAAGTATAATTTATATAGAAAAAGGTCTGGAGATAAACTTGACAGAGCAATAATTGTTATTTTTTTAAAACACTTATTATTCATTCCAATTAAATGAAAACATATTAATTATGAACACAACCTTTTAATTTATCTCTACCTTTTTCCCATTTTGATTGTCTCTCTAGAAATAAAATCCAACATTGAAAATTAGAATTTAGATAGAGAAGGAATTGGTAATGCATATGAAGTTTGTTTTTGTAGGAGAATAGGAGGAGGGAGGTACACAAGGTAACGATTAGATGGCAAAATTCTGAGGAGTTGTAACATATTTTTGTCTGTTAATGAAAACAGTTCATCCTATAATTGCGAAGACGAGGTGAACAAATCGAGGATTGTTGACTGCCCCCTCTTCCTCCTTGATCTGAAGCTGGCAACTGCTCACCCTTCTTCCATTATTTTCTTAATTTCTTTCAAATTAAAACTGTTGGATGGTAAATTTCCCCACTCGATGAAAAACTGTATTTCTTCTTCGTTTTCACGGAGTTGTTTTATGTTCTATATTACGTAATATACTTTTATGTAAATAGGTAATATATAATTAGAAGGGATAATTGGTTGGACTTAGGGCATATCTCTTTTGGTTGAATAATTGATCATTTTCCTTAAATGCTTATTGCAACCTGATTCCTTAGATATTGAAATGGAAAGTAGAGTTGTGAGGGTTGTTCATTATATTCCTTATGTTCATGATTACATGTTTTGTACAAGCTGGTGGCGAAGGTTATTGCTAATAGACTGAAGAGAGTCATGGACGCAGTGATCGCACCGGAGCAGAGTGCTTTTGTACCAGGTAGAGCAATAACGGATAACATTATTGCAGCTTTTGAGTGCTTTCACACGATGAAGAAACAGCAGAAGAGGAAGGGTACATGGTTTTTTGCAGCAAAAATTGATATGGCTAAGGCTTATGATCGAGTAGAGTGGCATTTTTTAGAAGGAATTATGCGCAGGATGGGGTTTGAAGAGAGATGGATCAGCACGATTATGATGTGTGTTCGTACTGTTACGTACTCAGTGCTGGTTAACGGGCATCAGTCGGAGGTTTTCTCGCCTAGCAGGGGGCTACGCCAGGGGGACCCGTTATCCCCATACCTGTTTCTACTTTGTGCAGAAGGTCTCTCGGCTTTTACGAAGAAGATGGTGGAAAATAAGCGGATTCATGGTATCCAACCGGCAAGAGGAGCTCCTGTTGTCTCCCACCTCTTTTTCGCAGACGACAGCGTGTTCTTCGGGCGGGCAACACAGCAGGAGGGCGCAGTGCTGAAGGAAATCCTGAATGCTTATGAAAAAGAATCTGGGCAGCTTGTGAATTTTCAAAAATCACAAGTCTCTTTCAGTAAACAAGTGAAGATGCATCAACGACTAATGGTCAGTGGAACACTGGAAATGGCAATGGTCGAAAAACATGACAAATACTTGGGGTTGCCGACTGTGGTGGGCAGGTCGAAGAAGGAAATATTCGCGGGGTTGATTGAAAGGGTTCGGAAGAAACTAAAGAATTGGAAAGAGAAAACCCTCTCGATTGGCGGACGGGAGACACTGATAAAGTCTGTAGCTCAGGCACAATTTACGTACGCAATGTCGGTTTTTCGAGTGCCGAGTTCGATAGTGAAGGAAGTACATAGTTTGATCACAAATTTCTATTGGGGGCAGCGGGGATCGGAGCGACGCATTCACTTGATCAGCCATGACGAGCTAACATGGCCGAAGGAGGAGGGGGGTTTGGGTTTCCGAAATCTGCTTGGATTTAATACGGCTTTGCTCGCAAGACAAGTGTGGAGTATTCATCAGAGGCCACAATCCTTGGTGGCCAGGATACTCCAGGCCAAATATCACAAGAAGACGACGATCTTGGAGGCTGCTGCGGGCCATCACCCCAGCTACATATGGCGGAGCTTGATGAGTGCTCAAGAGCTCCTAAATGAGGGAATAAGGTGGAGGATCGGGAATGGGGCATCAGTCCAGATTTGGGGTGACAAATGGCTGCCGAATTCGTCTCCTGCCTTTGTAACATCAGCCCCCATGGGCCTCCCTGTTGATGCTAAGGTACGAGACCTAATATCCCCGGAATCGGACCAGTGGGACGAGACAGTGGTGGAGGCTTGCTTCCCGTCGGAGATTACTAGTCGGATAAAGCAGATTCCGCTGAGAGGACTGGATGAAGTGGACAGGCAAATTTGGATGGACACGCCTAATGGGGATTACTCGGCAAAATCAGGCTATAAGATGTGGCTGAAGAGGTATAAGGAAGAAAGGCAATTGGCCGAAGTGGGGGAAGCGCATGTCTGGAAGAAGCTATGGGCAATGGAAGTCCCGCCGAAAGTTAAGCATTTTGTGTGGCGGTTTGCTCGGGATGCTCTGCCGACAGGGGACCATATCAGTATAAAAAGCGAGAGAAGAACTGATTAGTGCCCTTTCTGCGATCTCAGAGAGACGCAAGTCCATCTATTCGACGAATGTCAATGGACATCTCGACTTTGGCGAGGCTGTGTATTGGACGGTTGTTTCTCTCGACGAGGTAACCGGTCATGTTATGAGTGGTATAAGCTGGTTATGGAGGAGTTCGAGGGAGAAGTTCTGGAAAAGTGGAGCGTTCTACTGTGGTTCCTCTGGAAAGAGCGAAATGCTCATATGTTCAATGGATCAAAGCTGGACGAAGGGGAGATTGTAGCCCGATCCCAAAGTTACCTGGAGGAATACAAACATCACCAGGTATGTGAGCAGGTGGCTGTGACTCCCTCGGTGAAGCATTGGAAGAAACCGGACAATGGAAAGGTGAAGATTAACACTGATGCTGGTTTACTCGAGGACGGGGGGATTGGACTCGGAGTAGTGATCAGGGACGCCGAAGGAAACTTCATCCTTGCAGCTGCGAAGAAGATCCCGGGACAATGGGACGTGGTCATTGCAGAGGCGATGGCGGCAGAGATGGGAGTGAGCCTAGCTCGGCAGTTCTATGTCAACAACCCGATACTAGAGTCGGACAGTCAAGTTCTTATTACGAGGCTCTCCGAGGCGAGGGGGAATCAGACGGAACTTGGCACTGTATGCAGGAGTATCACAAGGAAACTGCTCGAAATGGGTAATGGGTCGTGGATTTACACCCCGCGGGAAGGCAACATGGCTGCCCATATCATGGCGCATTCGTCTGTGAACTGGAATGATCAGTGTGTTTGGTTAGATAGCCCCCCCACGTTTCTTGTTGACCAGCTTGAGCTGGACAATGTAGCTTCAGCTTCTGCTTAATAAAATTTGCAGGTTCCGATAAAAAAAAAAGCTAACTATAAGATGATGATCTGGTTAGTAATTAGTACGTAACAAAGGGATTATTAGTAGAAGGGAACATAATTGGAGTTTTATAAAAGTCGCGAAGAAAAAAGAAAATTATGGTGGTGGTTCCTCAGTTGTGTATTTCGATGTTTTTCAATTTCTACACGTTTGCTATGATATTTGTCTTTTCATTATGATGGATTTTTCCTCATTGAATCCCTAACTAAAGCTTGATTTTGAAATGAGTGTTTTCTTACCAACTACTATTTGGATTGATGCATAGATTCAGTTCACAAATTAGGAATCTGCAAGATAAAATGAGTTTAGTTGTATTGAAGTATGTTCATTTCATTATTTGTCTAGGTTGTTATTCGGTAAAAAAGCACCATTTTTTCTTTAAAGAGATATGCAGGTCTCTATAAAATATAAATTGTGTTTATATGCAGTTTAGTTTGCTGAAAATATTGCCTTAATAAATTAGTGACAACTGATACTGCTGTTTGTGGTTGGTTTTGCTAGAACATTGCCAAGTTAAATTAATTGAGTATGCGGAAGATTGATGGATGTGGATGCTAATTTGTTTCATCATTATTCCAGAATTACAGGTGTAACTGATAATACACGATATTGGTGGGATCTAGATCGGAATATTCTTTATTATGATATACCGACATATGAGAAGGGAAAGAAAATGAAAAGCTCTTCGCTTTATTCTTTTTTATTAATGGAAGTATATTTTCTTATTCTAACTTCTTTGTTTGTGGCCTTAAATTTTTTAACTTCTTAATAACTTTTTTTAGTTCAATACAAAATTCTAAATCAAAAAAGAACGGTCTACAAAGAGCTCAGTTAATATTATTAAATTTTTCATAAACAAAAAGGTATAAAAATACTAAATATTACCTAAAATAAGGTAAGTGTGATTTACAATTTCATGTATATTAGATCAACAAACATAAATAATAATATTTAAAATACTATAATGAATTATAAAATAACCAAATATAATGCACCGCTCAACGGGCGGGTAAAAACTAGTTCATTTTGTATGTCATACATGATACATGTGAGTAATGTCAAATTGGAAAACAAAATGATAATAGTTAAGAGTCAATAGTTCGATATTAACTAATCTCATATTATATTTTATGGTATCAAATTATTTAGTTAATAAATTTTAGCTAGTGAAAATTATGTTTTTTCATAGTATTGAAGCAATCTATGATACCTAATTGCTTTTTAAAATTAAATCAGATATATTTGCTCACATAATCTATGTATTGAACTTTTTATAAGGCGAGATATATATAATTTAACAATCCTATGAATCATCATATTCAAACTCGTATTGATCAATTCTCTCATAACTCGGTAATCGAGTTGGCTCTATAGCCACAATGTTGAGAGTTGAGACATCTCGTGAGCTCTAAACGAGTCAGCTCACGAGTTGAGTTCAACAAGCCACCGAGTTAAGCTAGCTTGCGAGCTCCACAAGCTATAGAAGATGAAACTCAATCTCAGCTCATTAATGAACAAGCCGAATTTCGAACTAGTTTTTCCGAGTTGAACATCGAACCGCTCGCAAGCAGCTCTACTCATTTGCCGAAGAACATCGAAATTTGGTTAAGAAAAAACCCAGCGCAAGTGTTTTTCAGGCGAAAGGATTAAAAAGGAAAAAAAAAATCCCCGGATAAAAATCAAGGCTAGAAAAGAAAGAAAAGCATGCCGTAGCTTCTAAACCAAACGTCCACAGAGCCACTGCTCCCCGTAGTTACGGCAGAGGAAGGAGAAGACTTCAGCAATCCAGTAGCCAGGAAAAGATATCACCTCTCGTACCAAACACGCGCCATTCATGCTCGGCCTTCATCGTCTCCTCTTCAGCTGACGGTAGCCGCCCGGAGCCCAGGACTTCCGACGCCGCCGTCTAAGCTTCCTCCCGGTACTTCTGCGCTGCGTTCGACTTTCCTTCGCTTCAATTGGTTTGACCGGCGGGGCCAGGTGAGCTGCAGTCTGCGGGATTTTAGTGGATTAGTTGATTTGGTGATAGGGCGAAAAGCAAAAATGATGGGATCGGAGAATGAAGCAGAATCTCAAGTCTTCGCCTCTAGAGAAGAGATGGAAAACCTTGTGCTCGATGAACCTTCCGATAATCCCAACGGCAATGGAGGCAGCAAATCTTTCTCCGATTACCGCAGCGTCATGTCGTCCCTCGCCGACGCGCATCACCCTTTCTCCCCGCCATTGACTCCCGCAGATTCGGATCCTTTGCTTGCTCCTCAACCATACCGGGATCTCCGAAACCCTAGCCTCTCTCACGATAATAACAATTCCTACATTGAACCGCCTGCCTACGCCGATGTGATCTTCAGTCCGTTCGACGAGAATACGGGCAGCGAAATCAACGGCATCGATAGCCCCGGTCGATCTTCCGATTCCTCACTTTCTCTCTCGAGATCCCCGTCCTCCAGCTCTGATTACATCAAGATCACCGTCTCCAATCCACAGAAGGAGCAGGAAAGTTCGAATTCGCTAGTCCCGGGAGCTAGCACCTATGTCACGTATCTAATAACGACGAGAACCAACATCCCCGAGTTCAACGGATCCGAATTCGGCGTGCGGCGGCGATTCAAGGACGTGGTCACCTTATCCGATCGTCTAGCGGAGGCTTATCGAGGGTTCTTCATCCCGCCTAGGCCAGACAAGAGCGTTGTGGAGAGCCAGGTGATGCAGAAGCAGGAGTTTGTAGAGCAGAGAAGAGTTGCTTTGGAGAAGTATTTGAGAAGGCTGGCTGCGCATCCCATCATAAGGAACAGCGATGAATTGAAGGTGTTCTTGCAAGTGCAAGGGAAGCTGCCGTTGGCTACAAGCACCGATGTGGCATCCAGGATGCTCGACGGCGCAGTGAATCTACCGAAGCAGTTGTTTGGAGAAGGTTCGACGGTAGCCCCTCAGGATGTGGTCCAGCCAGCGAAAGGAGGGAGAGACTTGTTGAGGCTGTTTAAAGAGCTGAAGCAGTCTGTTTCTAATGATTGGGGTGGATCAAGACCACCTGTAGTGGAGGAAGATAAAGAGTTCTTAGAGAAGAAGGAGAAGATGAACGTTTTTGAGCTGCAACTCAGCAATGCTTCTCAGCAGGTTGAATGATGGTTATTGTTTGTTATGCATTAAGATTTATTCTCACTCCTCATTTCCTGCTTTTGAGTGATTGTTTCATTGTTGGTTTTGTTGTTTGGGGGGGATTTTTGTTTGCAGGCGGAGTCGCTGGTGAAAGCACAGCAAGATATGGGGGAGACAATGGGAGAATTAGGGTTAGCATTTATTAAATTGACGAAATTTGAGAACGAGGAAGCTAAGTTTGAATCACAAAGAGTAAGGGCAGGTGACATGAAGAACGTAGCTACAGCTGCTGTCAAAGCAAGCAGATTCTACAGGGAACTGAATGCTCAAACGGTTAAACATTTGGTAAATTACTGATATAGGCTCTTCATTCTGCCTGCTGTCTTAATAGTACGTTTAATTTACTATCTGGACAACGTAAAGATGATAAGGTGACTGTTATTGAGATGATGATTTATTAGACAGGCTTTTGCTACGCCACTTTCTGTGCAAATTTGTGAAAATTAGCACTATTTGCTTTTTGTGCTTTGGAAGTGGATGTCTGAAATGTTTTTGAAGGAAACTTCCTGATTTTGCTTATGAACTTTCAATTGGCAGGATACCCTCCACGAGTATCTTGGGTTGATGCTATCAGTTCATGGTGCATTTGCCGATCGCTCTAGTGCTTTGCTGACGGTGCAAACTCTTCTATCAGAATTGTCGGCTCTGCATACAAGGGCCGAGAAACTTGAAGCTGCTTCATCAAAGATATTTGGTGGTGACAAGTCGAGGATTCGCAGGATGGAGGAGTTGAAAGAAACTATTAGAGCCACTGAAAATGCTAAAAGTGTTGCGATTAGAGAATATGAGCGGATTAAGGTAATGTGATTTTTTTCTTATCATAATTGCGAATGAATGTCTTGTCTGGGTTAGATTTTTCATTTTTGTATCGGCAGTCTATATATAGTTCATCGGTCCAATACAAGTCACGTTGTTGTGCATGGAGTTTGCTGTAACTTTATTTGTTTTTATTCTTGTTCCTTATTTGAGGGTTTTTATGGTATCATTGCATAAGCAGAAAGCATTTACGAAGATAGTATTTTATTAGGATTATTAAGGAATTAGATTTCTTGGTGGTAAGTTTTTTACTCCTATATAAGGAGCTTTCTGCATTGATTTAGAAAAGAGCAAGAACAGGAAGTTTATTCAAGTATTTGACTTGTTTTCTTTGAGTGGATTCTCGAGTGAAGTTCTGACCTGTGAATGGAGAGCACAGCTCTAAGATCGTATCTTCCAATTCATTTCTTGAATGACCATCTCAAACAGCATTTCGTCTTTCCTGTATTCTCTTTGCCTTATAAACCTTAGACAAGTCACATCTATTCTTTGATTAAGCTATTCATGTTCCTGTTTACAATAGTTTTTCTCAGTCAGAGCTGTGTTTATGGTTTTGATAAGATGCTAGAGCCATTACATTTGTGTTTCAGATTTCATATTTGCTCTAACCAGTGATATTCTGTAGCAGAGGCTGTTGAACCTTAGCTTTTCCATTGTTGTTTGGCTTCATTAACCTTATCCATTTCCTACTTATGGAACTAGTTGATTAATGTTCTATGTTTTCAATATTAGAGTTTTACGTTTTATGGCTCCATTAACCTTATCAACTCCTTTGTTGATCTCTTGTTGCATTTCCTTTTAGCTTTCTCTCGTGTACTTAAACATGTTGGTACAGTCCCTTCAAGGAACCTAGCATCTGTTTTGCTGCTTCATCTGCTCATTTGGAGTTGTCTTTGTCAACACCGAAAATCAGGATTCAAAGCTATGCTCTTTGATCGCACTATTTCAATGGGAGTACCATGTTTTTCTTAGTTGCTGAAAGTTGGTCCTAACCTTTGAAACCTAGGGGGCTGGATGTTTTCATCAAATTCAAAAACCCTGTTTTTATCCGTGCATTTCTTAGACACGTGTCTTAAGATGATGGCAATGTCCCTGGTAATCCATAGTGCTCTTCTTATTTCCATACCTTGAACTAACAGTATGAAATTCCATATAAATTTCAAGAGTAAAGACACTCAATTTGGCTTGTAAATGGGCAGTTCTCTCGTATCTTTAGTTCCTTTCCTGAATTAAGTGAAAAGTTGGGTACGAGTTTCTTAAGCTGCTTTCTTTTGGCTACTTTCCATGATCACGCTGAATTTGCTTTCATCCACTTTAAGAGTATGGAACTGTTGCTTTACCATGTAGCAACCTGGGATGAGGCTACTGTATGGTTGGAAGGAATTGGGACCGGTGGGAAAGGTGGATATACATGAAAGAGGGTTTCAGGTTTCTCCTTTTCTTGAAACAGATCTTTTATAGCTTCCCCCCCCCCCCCCCCCCCCCCCCCCCCCCCCCGGTCATTACTGATTTCCTTGTGTTAAGGCTTTCCTGTGGTCTTTAGATGTGGGCAACAAGTTATTATTGGTTAGTGCTATGCTTATCCTTGGACTTGAGGCTTATAGCTTGAGCTCAGAGTCATGCTGCTCAATACTTCGCGAAATACGAGTCAATTTGCTGGGTTAATAGTTAGTTGTAATTTAGTTCTGTAATTAGTGCACTATATGAATGTGATGGAATGTGGTTGTTCGCAAGCTTATGATGGCATGGACACCTGGTTCCCCCGACTCAGTTGCTTCTTTTGCTGCATTTGTTACTGTCTGTCTACCTCTGTTGAACTTTTGGCTCGACAGTCTTTGTTTCTGTAAAATATGAAAGGACTCATAAGTTGCATTATTGATTCTGTGATTCATAGCTCAACTTTATCAGTTTGACATTTTAGTATGGTACAGTATCAGTATGCGTCTTCCCTTTGCTGAGCATTTTATGTTGTGGATGTTCGATTCCCTTGATTTGCATTACTTTCCAAGTTTAGCAACTCATTTCACTCAGCCATGTGTATCGATTCTTCAAAGTTGCTGCTGAGTTGTTTTCGTCATAATTGCAGGAAAATAACAGGACCGAACTGGAAAGGATGGAGACGGAAAAACAGGCCGATTTCTCCAACATGTTAAAGGGATTTGTGCTTAACCAGGTACACTCTTTTTAACTATTCCATCTGGTCCTTTAGACCATTACTTCGTCATTCTTGATCCCGCCGCACATCTATTGTGATCTAAGCTTCTCACAGTTGCATATGGAAACTTGTCATTGCGGTAATTATTGAGTGGCATCTGTAAATTTTGTTTCAAATTGGGGTGGCCATGTGTTACATTTTTACAGGTTGGATACGCGGAGAAGATTGCCAACGTGTGGGCAAAGGTTGCGGAGGAGACTAGTGGATATGCAACCGACAGCGCTTAGAATGTGTTGTGGGGAGCTAGCTGTACATTCGAATTCTTCTGCTCTCGTCTTTTCTTCTTTCCCTTTTCTTTTTTAGCTTTTCTCAGTTTGATCTTCTTTTTACGTGTTGTGTAATTGCACGCAAAGTAGGAACTCATGTATCTACAATTTGATGAAACACAGAACAAATAAACAAAAAGAAAATAGAAAAGCAAAGGGGTAAAAGAAGAAGCACTTCTGTAGCATACATATTCATCAAAGTTCCATTTGCAAGTTTTTGTCTTCTGAATTGGAGTTTCTTCGTTATTATCTTCGTCAGATGACTCCTCCCATTTGATTGCAGTCTGGTATGAGTATGACAGGCGATAGATATGACGATACTGTTGCATTGCGGACAAGATGTTGGATTAGCTTATTAGTGATAACTCGATCACTGATCTTCACCTTATGGCAAAGAGTAACGATGAAACCAAAAATACACAAAATGAAGATATTGGCAATCTGAATTGCCCAACCGCCATTGCAGTTGTAAATGCCTCTGTAGATTAGATATACGATGAGAACTTACAATCCTTTTCGAAACTGCCCCAAAAATCCACTACCAAAACCCTAACCCCACAGTATAACAGCAGAAAAAAAGTAATCAAGATAGAGCCACCAATCTAAATCTCACACGCGCGACATCATGCTGCTCCCAGCGGCGGCAGCAGACGCCGACCCTCCGATGAACGAGAACAGTCCGGCCCCAGCTCCCTCCTGATCATCCATGAACAAGTCTTCCGGATCCCTAAACGCGCCGTGGACGCACACAATCGCCACGCCGACCATGGTCGCCGAGATGAGCAGCGACCCCACGCTTGTCAGGAAGACGACGACCACGGTCACGAGCATCAAGATCCCGAGGGTTTCCCGGTCCGAGAAGGTCCGGCCCATCACCACCAGGGGCTGGTCGGAGGGGCGGAAGGTGTAGAGGAAGAGCCAGGCGGCGAGGAGGGAGAGGAGGGTGAGGAGGGAGAACGGGTGGGAGATTAGGGAGACGGCGAGGACGAGTGCGAGCAGAGTCGTGTAGTTGACGCGGAAGTAGGAGTAGTTCTTCCTGATCCTGGTGGTGGCTTCCGAGAGAGAACCGGGCCTGGAGAAGGCGGAGCGGTCGATGAGCTCCGTCCATGGGCGGCGGTGGGAGAGCGAATTGCCGATTGCGCCGTAGAGCCGGGCGACGAAGGACCGGACGGCGGCGACTACGGAAGCTTGGGTTGCGCCGCCGCTGGATTCCTGGTTGGAGAGCGGAATCTGAGCTGGAGAAGACATCGGAGATGGCGAATTGAGGGGGAATCAGGTACAGGGAGAAATTGGAAATATCTCAAGATCTGGTGGGCGAATTAATGTGGCGAAGAGCTCAACTCCGTTTCTTCCCGTATAGATGAGAGAGAGAAAGAAGGAGGGTTAAAAAGGAGAGGCGGAGGAGGGCTTCGGTGCGGGCTGCTGTACGGTGATCTTGGAGGTGAGAGTTGATGGGTATTGGCGATTTAATGCCCGATGGCACCGTCGATTGCGATGGGATAGACGGCTGGGATGTAAAACGAGGAAGAGATGGGGCATGTGCGGGCGGGGGTATCTGTGAGGTGGCCGCCACTAATTAATCAAGAAGTTATTCTTTACACCAAATTAATCTCATAACTACCTTATTTTATATAATTGGGCCGCTTTAAGGAAGGGATTGCTATTCGTGCCCTAAAAAATTTTATTCGTAGTTCTAATTGTGTTAAATTTACTTTAATGTCCTTAGTTTAATTTTTTCTTTTCGAACACTGAGATAATTAACTGATCAACGAACAAAAATCGATTCTACAGACAAATCCAAAAACAAAAGTAGTACCTGTCCAGATTACAATTGTTCTTATGAGACAATAAGAAATGAAGAAATAGATACACACTACAAATAATCACTAAATACAGACTAATCAAATGGGTGGGAAAACAATCCATCTCTCCTTTTTCTTCAATTACTCGTTCATGAACAAATGGGAAGATCCTCGAGAGGTGGTTCCATTCAGATGGGCTGGACGACTCGGTTGTGCCCGAGACGACCTTCTTCCCCGAATTAGGACAGGCGGCACCGTCGCCGACGCTCTTGGATGGGTTCCTGACCTGAGAAGAAAACCCCCAAAAGAACCTCCGGCCTTTGCAGACTCCAATCTCCAAACTTCTCCATTTCCAAAGCTCTGTTCCATTCCTATTACTCAGGGAAACCCATCAAACAAACCATGAAAATTTCCCCCTCGCCTTGTTTCTAATCCTCACCGCCGCCGCCCTTCAGAACTATTCCGGGCACCAATTCCTGAACTGCGACGCCTTCGACGAGCTCACCCCGTCCCTGGAGCTCCTCTACACAGATCATTTCTGCCCAGATGTAGGGGTGGGGGGTTGGGTTTGGCATGAGATGAGACTTAGGGATTGTTTGTGTAGTGTTTAGTTAGAAATTAAGGCTAGGGATAAATGTGTAAATTTAATGGGTTTTAGGGCGATAAAATTTAAATTTTAGGGCGACGAATAACGATTCAGTTAAATAACCTTCCTGGGTGAATTGCAAACTTGGTCACCCATATTATTTATTTATAACACTTTAACCACCTGAATATAAAACCATTCAACTTAGCCACCGATACTGCACGTTTATGTGATATTTGATCACTCGCCGTCTAGTTTCGTTAAATCTGTCATACGTGGCAGTCAACAATTAGGTTTGACTGTTAAAATGATGATGTGGCCATTAAAAATAATTAATTAATAAATTTTAAATTTTATTCTATTCCAGCTCACAATTTTCAATTACAAAATATTATTTATGATAAAAATTTAACAAATATAAAATTATTCTACTTTTGTTTTGTTCTTTCCTTCTCAAACGACTGGTGAGAGAGGGTCTAATGTAAAAAAAAAAGCGATCGGTGAGAAAGCTTTTGTTGTCAAGCCGATGTTGGCCGCCGGTAGCAATCCGAGCAAGTCTCTCGGGACCTAGGGAGTTCAAATCGTTGGTTGTGTAACCGACACCCGCGATTGGTAATGTGAGCAACAAGGAGTGGAGGTCGAATGAGACGGCGTCCACGATTTCCCCGACATCGGTAATCGAAAGGGCACCGGAGAACAATCGGGAGTCCGGTGAGCTGAGTAGCTACAGTGGGTTGGATTTCTCCACTGGGCGATACTGAGCTCAGCAGCTCCAGCGCAATTGACATCTTCGACAACTTTGGGAACAAGATTGGGCGTCCAATAAGTCGGTTGTCCAACTTTCAATCGGGCTTTCTAAATTCAGCGGAAACAGGGGTGATTGCTCTAGTTGAAGGAGGCAGTGGCGCAAGGGGTGGGAGTTGCAGTGACGAGCCTCGGTGAATCCGCCAAGCCGTCAACACGAGAAGGATGACTCCGGCAAACAGGAGTTGGGAATTGCATCGAATTTTTCGTCTTCCTCTGCTCTATTACAGAAGATTCATGGTCGTCTTCCTCTGCTCTGTTCACCGTTATCTTCTCATCTCCCTTAACTTCGGCACCCCAAACCCCAAAATCACTTCTCTTCTCTCTCCCCGCCGGCACCATCTCCACCGTCCCAACAAAATCCCCACCAAAATCCCCAAGCCCCAAAATCACTTTTATTCTCTTATTTCTCTTTCGCCACCGCCGCTGAAATTATGAGTTCATGCCATTGGATCTCCATACCCGCCTCTACCTCATGTTGCTGAAGCTCCAAATCCAGGTCTTAGAAAAGAGAATTTTGGTTGTCGGGGTCAATGCGTTGCCTGCGAATGTAGATGCGCTCACACTTTTCTTAATCGAATCACCGAAAAACTCTCAGATCTACAAACTAACCGTCGTGTTTTGGTGATTTTTTTGGTTCTTCAGGTTCTAGAACTGGCCAGGAACGCCGCGGGAGACAATAAGGCAAAGGAGATTCCAATTTCCGAAGGTGGCTCGAAGGAGTTTCGGTTTGCGGTGGCAATGGGCAGAATGAAGAGGTTTGGGATGGAACCCTGGCGGAGGAAGGATCGGTGGAGACGAAAATGGGGAAATTGGCGAATTGGTTGTAATTGAAAATTGTGAGTTGGAAAAGAATAAAATTTAAAACTTATTGATTAATTATTTTTAATGGCCACGTTAACATTTTAACGGTCAAACCTAATTGTTGACTGCCACGTAGGACAAACTTAACGGAACTAGACGACGAGTGACCAAATATGACATAAATGTGTAGTATTGGTGGCTAAGTTGAATGGATTTTTATTCGGGTGGCTAAAGTGTTATAAATAAGTAATAGGGGTGACCAAATTTGAAATTCACCCTAACAGTCCCTATGAAAAAAAAGGTAAATGTCCCACTAGGGATGGCAAAAAAACCCGAACCCACGGGTACCCACCCGACCCAATCCGGTCAACGCGGGTAAAATCCGTGTTGACGGGTTTTGGGCCGGGTTCGGGTTTAAACCCGCTACACTATTCACCGGGTTGGGTTTGGGTTTAGGTAAACCCGCCCCATGGGTACCCGCCCACACACATATAATTACTTTCCCGGTATATTTAATATTCTAAATAATATATCTTCATTAAACAACTAATATTCTTTATGTTTGTGGAGACATGTATAATTTGTTCTTTCTAATTGTTTAGAATGAAGTTGATATTATGGAGTGGAGAGTGAAGAAAATTAGTTGATGAGGAAGAAACTTTCAATTAATCTTGTGGTTTATAGATGTTTATCTTTAATTTTGAACAATTTGTATTGATCATTTGCGGTTTGCTTGTATGCTCTAGATTAGTGTTTTTTGTATGAATAATTTGTATGAGAAAATTGATGTGAAACTTTTATTTTGAAAGAAACTTGTTATTGTAAATTTTTTACCACAAAAACCCACGGGTACCCATGGACCCGCGGTTACCCAGCGGGTTGGGTTTGAGTTTTTCAAACCCAGCGGGTTTTACCCCGAGTTTTTTTGGCAGATAAACCCATGGGTTTGGGTTTGACAAAACCTGCCCCAACCCGACCCATTGCCATCCCTACGTCCCACTGCCATTTGTATGTCGGGTTGTACGGATTATTTGGTTGGATTATGTGTTTGATGGATAGTCATAGTTGGGCTTGGGCTTCATGTAACCATCCAACCAAGATGGTCATTGACTTAATGTCCCAACTATGATCCATGTAACCATTCATCCATAATCATGGTAGTGCTGGATAGTGTCATCCAATATCATGGATATTTCCAACACTATAATGGATGGTAACATCTCGTCTTGTGGACACTATTTCTAAGTGGATGGTGGTATCCTCATCATAAGAAATATCAATTCTCCAAATGAAATATAAAAATTTAGGTCATCGATACCTATAGTACTTAATAGATAAAACAATACATATCCAATATAAGACTCACATCATCGTAAGAAATATCAATTTCGACTTCAAAAAAAGTCTAGAGAAGGAACTTACATGGTGCCTCTTTCTTCTGCTCATCACCTGAACAATCAACAAAAGATTTTGAATCAAAGAATTCGATTGCAAATGCACACAACTTCTGAACCTCGAAACGTATAAGCTAATTCACATTAATCGTACAAAATGAATCATTACCTCTCAATCTGATCATGTTCAAGGCAATGGTGCATGAAGTCGATAATTCTAATGCCAACCAACACCCCAGCGACATTAGCAATCGAGTTGTGCAACAATATCGACCGAGCACAGAACCAACTTACTTGAGGAGAATATGAAGAAGTTATGACCAACGGCGGATCCAGGACATAGTATAGCACTGAGCCGTATTTGAACAGAAAATTAGATACCATAAACAAAAAAATAAATAAACATAGTTTTCATTAAAATGTCAATTGTACAAGACGGTCTTTTAATTTAGCAATTCGCCAATAATTTAGTTTTCATCCATACCAATAACGTACTCTCACAAATAAATAGTTAAGCAACCAACAAGAAATTCGTCGCTCATTTTTTTGCGCAAATCAATCTTCACATGTTTCATTGTTGAAAAAGATTTTTTCATACTAGCCGTCGAAACGAGCAACGTTAACGCTAGAGTAAGAAAAATAATTTCCCCCCTTTTTATTTGATGCTTGAGAAGATACTATAATGAATTATCTTTAAATCTACATAATAAATAGGACAACTATCATATACTCTCAATTTTCCAATTAACTTCCTAATTCTAAAGGCTAAGTTATTTACTAATTGAAAACCGGACAAACAGTGGGTTAATACACTTCTTTCTCACAAAGCACTGGGTTAATGCAGTTAAACAAAACAACAAACATAACTTGTACATATATATAGTTATGTAATACAAAGCACAAACTTAGGGTTCGTTTGCTTCAAGGATTTGGATGTGGGATTTGGTTCTCAAATCCCACACATGAAGGATTTGTCCAAAAGCCATTGTTTGTTGAGCCAAAATGGAGGGTACCAAATCCGTGGGGTCCACTGATTTGGGGCTTCAAATCCATGGGCCGCACGGATTTGTAAATCCCACCTCATACCTTGAGATTTGGAGACATACTAAAAAACCATCAAATCCATGATAAAAATAGCTCAACAAACAAAAGATTTTCTCAAATCCATAATGCCCAAAATCCCTAATAAATCTCAAGGTTTTTAATTAGCAAATCCATAACAAAACCCTCGTTATAAAATTCTTGAAGCAAACGACCCTTATACACATTCTTGCGGAGATAGAATGAATCATTTTCACTTTATTGTTTTGGCCGCAAGGAAAGAGGAAGGGAGGACTTTCGGGAATTGGATTCTTGTTACTTGGGTTTAGTTGTTGAGTTTTAGGTCTGGGAAGAAGAGAAGACTGGGCCAAAAGTGGGCTATGTAACCTTAATATCATGAGGAGGGTTGGGCCCAGGCCCAGTGTGGTCCAGCTCTGGATTCGCCACAGGTTATGACGCCATGGATATCAAAATCTAACCTTCACTAATGCCATTGATCTAGACATATAATCCGAAGTCATATCAAGTATCAACAAAGTACATGTTAGCAATTTAACAACAACCATCAACAACAAACAAATAAGAGTAGTGAGTAGAGATAGAGGAGATACATATCAATTACCAAACAACATTCATGTAACCAAGTAATATAACAGTAAATCAGATAACTGGAGAATGAAAGTCCACAAGCTAAGCATGGGCTACACATAAAGCAAAAGACAACTTCCATGCTACAAGCCAATAGCTAGCTGGTGAATTAATTATGATTGGATTGGGGGATTATCTCGAAAATAGTTACCTTCAACAAACCACAATCGTACAGCTTAAGTAACTATAGTTGTAGTACTGATAAGACAACCATATGACAAAATAGTATATAGAACGTCTTCAAAATAGCCACTACGAAAGCAGAAAATTAACCGAATCACAGTTCAGATAGAAACAGAACTATCGGTTCACTATATTCACCAAACCGGGAAACAAAAGATTAACTAAATCACAATCCTAGATACGAACATAACTATCAATTCCTTATATCACCAGCCAAACCTGGAAGCAAAAGATTAATTGAATCACAGTCTTAGGATAGAAACGAAACTATCGTAAACAAATATCGTCAGTAAAGACAAATAATCACAAACATGTTCAGCCAAAGTAGAAATAAAACAATCGATTCACTATACCACCAAAACTAGAAACAATTCAAGGCGTTAAGATGAAAAAGGAATGTAGCTCGTCCGAGACAAAAAAAAAAAAAAAAATCGAAGTCTAACCTAAACCATGACGAGAGGAATTAGAATATATGATACGATGTAATTAGCAAAGATACGATTCAAATTCCTTCTATGTATTTCAAAAAGCAAACGTAGGTCGTGACATCAATGATATTTTTTATATAGAAATGAAAATAAAAAATATTTTTAAAAGTACAATAATTAATTTCCAAATTCCAATCTTCACTGAAGTAAGATAGAACTATATTGCTATATCTCGAGCTGACCACATCATTTTAGAAATGATGATTTTGTTTGGTGCAGAAACGTTCTCATTGATTGAGTTTCATCACTCCATGATATTCTTTTTTCATACGACTTCTTGTTCATTCTATAATTAACTGATCGGAAACAGCGGCGAGCAGAAAAAGAGTAACATTGTATTTATGAGCCTCTGTATTGTGTATGCTAAAGCAGCAACAGCTAGCAAGCCTTCGTACTTCACCACACATGCATAAAAGCTTAAAGCTTGAAAGGTTGGCAATGCCAGAAAATTTCACCTTCTTTATCTTTTCAAATCCTATCCCGTTGCTGCATTCCATTTCTGTCCATATATTTCCCCCAGCTCCTTTAAGATGCTCCGCTCTGGTATCACTTGTTACAAGATGCGCTTTTGGGATTGACTTCTACGTATTGAATGAATCTTTGATTTTTGGATTTTAGGATGGCTTGCTCGAAATTCTCAGTATGGGATGTATTTACTGTAAAACTATTACTAATCAAAAGAAAAAATTAAGAAACATAAATTGAGTTACAATCTCGTCATATTATTATTATTATTATTATTATCTATAGACAAAAACACATGGGGCGTTTGAATGTAATATTTGAGATTTGTGAGTTATTTGGACACAAATAACTCGTTTGACAACAATTTACTAAAATGAGTTATTCATGAATAACTCAAAACGAGTTATTTATGAATAATTGCTATCCCCATGTTATTTCGAAATAACTCGTTTTGCCACTCTGCTTTTTTCAACTACCACATTTGCATTGTTCTACCAGTACCAGATGAGATGCTTTAATATCCAATTGCCACTGAATTAAAACCGGAATATTACCACATCAACAATTATTGAGTTATTTAACTCTACAAACAATTGAAAATTATTATTATAAATTATTACACAACCAAAATCCATTTCCTTGTAACCCTAGTCATCTATGCCTCTCTCTCCTCCTTTTCCTACTCGAATTCTCTTCATTTCCCATACAAGAACATTAGTTAAATACTAAACAATAATTCCTATGAATTTTATTCCGACTAGAACAAACACAACAATAAAATAACCCGAACAATTTCAAAACAATAATTATTAAATACGTATAATTAAACA